TCAGTGAATTTGCCGTAATTTTCACATTGGGTCCATCTTCCATTGCATAGATAAGGCTACTGATATTTCTTCGTCGGTCGCAAGTGAGCAGTTGTAGGCGTTTGTATTTCTTCATACAGGAATTCGAAATGCATAAAGTCTTGCTTCTCTTGAAATTCATGGCCATCTCCGATCAACTCATTAATCCAATATTAACTACATTTCATTGTCTATTTTCCACTACATTCCTGCTGTCTTCTTAGCTATAATTTAGCTTGACATGATTAATTTTTCCAAACACAGCCTAACAAATTGTGTGTGTAGTCCTCTCTTACATGATAGAGACCGTCTCAAACAATGTCATCTCTTGATAGGAGGTTACAAGTGCAACAAAAGTTGGGACGCTTGTTCATATCACCTTACAGCTTAAATTGTTACTGTTTTCAGACAATTACTCGTGTATATCGGAGTCTCTGTCGAGATCTTACCAATGTAAAAGCCACATCATTGGCGTGCCCAATCCTATTCAGAATTCAGGTAATATTCGCTTTGTATAAATTATAAGAGTTTTAGTTAATCTTTCGTTAACATGTTGATGCCCACGCGACACCTTTTCTGGCCATCCTGCTTTCCAAATCTTTAGGCGCTTGGCTCCTCCGTATGATCCCTGATTAGAATCCTTGATCAGAATAGGACCTGCCGAGTTTGCAATCCCAGTTTGGAGTCCTTGAAAGTGAGACTCAAGAACAGCCGGGAACAAGTGGTGGAGAGATACCTGAGTGCAACATAGGAGTTCGAGAACAGTCTGTGACCTTCATTCTTGCTAATGGGGGGTTTTTCGAAGTGATTGTAACTCGTTATTGCACATAATGTAAACAAACGCGTACTCAAATTTTATTGTCATCTTCAGCTTTGAAGCTTGAAATATTATACATTGCAGTGAACAGTTTCAGGACACCCTGTGAGATGTAGGTGTAGATGTGAAGATGACTGAACAAAAAAGTAAGCACTGTTGCGCACGTATTTCTGACAACGACGTTGATCGCATCCCAATATACCTTACCCAAAAGGAATAAGATTAACTACGGTGCCCAATTTCGAGCTTCTCGTTTTCGTCGTTAACCATTTTGCGCTAAGCGATTATATCTGTTCATGTTCTGTGCTTCCGTTATCCCCCTCCTTCCCTCCGCTTTGGAAAGGGATTCTCACAGATTAGACCCTGAGAAGCTGCATAGTGCATAGATATGTAGATTCGAAGGAAACATGGTGTGTGCTATTTGATTTGAAAAAAGATATATCTCCAGAACTCACCTACTTTGAAACTTTACGTTAAGCGAGCTTGCCATTCTTCTTGAAGGGAAATGCGAGGGAATGAGCACATTCTATGACTGTATTAAAAGCGATTTGGATGAGCACTGTGGACAAATAGCGACCGCCCTTCTTAGGAGATCAGTCGAAGAGCTTGGATGTTTGGATGGTAAGTAGATATTCCATAGGAATTCAGTCCGTAATACCACCTCCACTGAGCATCCTTGAAGGCACAGTTCACGATAATCATGGGGTATCCAGTTTTTGGCGAAATTTGACAAAAAATTGTTAGATACGGCCTGCAATAGTGCAATGTTAAAAGAGAAAACGCGAAAAAAGATGAAAATAAAGAAATAGAGAGCTACAAAAAACAAGGGAAAAGGGGGTCGGACGANCTACATGGCGAAAGAACGGCGATAAGGGATTTCTCGGGAGAGAGGGGGACGTGCGATTCGTGCAATTCTGTGTGCGCGCGGCAAATTGTGCGGCGAATTTCGGGATGTTTCAAACGACTCCTGCGCCTATTATTGGGACACAAACTTGAAGTAGAGTACTTCAGTAGGGTCGGACAATCCTACTAAACTACTTTACTTCAAATTTGGGCCCCAATGATAAACACTGCAGTCGTTCAAATCGCACCGAATTTCGTCGCGCAATTTGCCGCGCGCACCAAGAATCGCACGAATCGCAGTATCAATTTCGACCTTTTGACGACGGCTGAGAAAAATTAATTAGAATAGAATAGCGTAGAATATGGACGAATACTAGAAAAACAGTCCCAGTACGAGGCGGTCGACCAGCTGACCGTATGGGGGCAATTTGCCAACCAGCCTATCGATTTTTCACTAATGTTGCTCCGATGCGAAAGTGGTGAAGGACAAATAGAACTCGTAGTCAACCTAGCGAGGGGCGGAGGCCTCCCGAGCCCCACTGTTACTGCCCTTATTGTGCCCTATCCAGACCGTTTTTCGACATTATCCCTGCACAAGTGGTGTCGCAGGGGGCGTCGAATTCAAACCATGTGCAAATCTCCGAAACCATTTTTTCGTGAACTGTGCCTTTAACGATATTATTTTGAATACATGATTTTGTTGAAATGAAAGATAATGGAAATCACCTATTTCGCAGCCACGTCTGAAGGTGAACGTCATCTGAAGCAGTCAAACATTACCGAGTTGCTCACAGAACAACACAGAAGAGGTAAGCTCACAAATTAAATGGTGTGTACAACGTCAATTAGCTTAAAGTGCTCTACACCAACCATTTGAATGGTGATACTTTTTAGAAGGCCTTGGAAAACAAACGAGCATAAACTTCTGCATGGGCTCTGATTCAGTATATAACACGTCTCCGGGCCACCTGGCACTATATCATGGCGTAGACAAAAATGTAGACTTTTATAGTACTGTTTTGGAAGCATATACCCGTGAAGGAGGCAGCGACTAGTACTGGTGATGCTTTCAAGGGCAAGGTCTTCTATCGATACAACTGTCAATGTCTTGCTGTTTCAAAAAAGGATATTAAAGTTTTGCTAAAGGAGAGCTTCCACGACCATTAATACGCAGAAATCTTCGAGGTTCCAAGGCGAATCCCGAAGCTACCATGAAACAAGTGCTTGCATCTTTTCGGATATTCCATACGACAGTAAACAAACCTCGATACCATCACCGCGCAGGAAAACTCTGCACAGTCTCGGGTACCAGGTAAAGTCTAACTTGGGGGTGCCTGTGAGTCTTTGTCTCGTCGCTCTCTCTTGGAAATACTTCCAAAGGAGATTGAAGCTGGAAAGAGTTTTGGATATCCTCGCTTGATTACAAAGAAGAGACAGTGGCTACCTGAAGGAGAGATGCCATGCCAGAAGCAAATTTTGGTTTCCAAGTGTATTGCTCTGTTACTAGTGAAACTGCACAGGTATGCATTATATAGATCAAGAGAGATCGCCCTCGAAAGGGATTAGAAATAGAGGGACTTCGATGGTTTTGTTGCCCGTGAATCCGGCCATGAAGTTTTGGGAGAAGAGCACCACTGAGTAACAGCCAAAGGCGGAGCAGCAGTAATGGAGAGGAGCTATGAAGATATTGTGCATCAATGTCTGTTCGTTCCGAAGAAAATGTCGCATGTGTAGAAAGGAAGATCCAATTGTCCTCAAGCGGCGATCTTTTAGATGGTACAGGAAAAAGTGAATTGGGTAGTCCGGAAAATTTCCGCCGTTTTTCGAGTCTCTTTTGAGAGATTTTTTCTATGAGAAGAAAACTATTCATCAAACAACATACTCTCCATTCTGTTCAGCAATGGTTCGCCATGGTCTTGTAGGTTTCATTACCCCACTTTTATAGGTTTTGGACTCAGAATAGAAAAACCCTTTCAGGTGCTTCTTGCAGTCCTTCAGCGGTTTGACCGATTTTCCATCTACAGATTTATGCAGAAAACTGAGCAATTGGTAGCCTCTTAATGTTATGTCCGAATTATATGAGGGGTGTGGTAAGGCATTCCACCCAGGCTCCAACAACTTTTGACGAGTAGTCAAAAATACGTGTGGTATGGAGTTATCCTGTTGAAAGACAACGCCCTTACGATTGACCAGTTCTGGGCATTTCTAGCTTATAGCAGTCTTCAATTTGTTTAGCTCAGTAAAGCATCTTCCCGTTCGTCTTCGATAATGCGGCAACAGCTCATAATGATTGCAACACAGCATAATCTTCCTCACCTGGGTTTTGAAATTGGCATAGTTTGTGACTGCTCAATGGCAAAGCTCCGCGTAGTTGAACACGGACCATTTTTCGTCCTCCTTTTCATGCGTTTTAGAACAGCTCCTTTTTTTGTTCGAGCACTCAGTCGCACATATGGCAACGAGCGCCGTCCACCATATTGCGCTTGCGCTCAGTTCGTGAGGTACCCAAACATAAGGCCAGCAGGTTCCTGAGCCAGCAAGACATTGACAATTTCCAGCAAATGGTAATGGATGGCTGATTTCGAAACACTAAGTCTTCCTTTCATTTCGCCAGTGATTCGTTCCGATTAATATTTTGATTTGGCCGTCTTCATCTGATGATAGCCTCCGTGAGCGTTGCCGATCTTGTGGGTGAATTCACACCGTTCGAATTTGCAAACTGATCACGCACTATGCGACCCCTGGAGCATTGCCTACTTGAACGTGACAAATCTTTCTCGTGGCTTGAACAGCGCTCTTTCCCTTGCCGTGGAAGAAAAACCTCAGCTGCCGAAAGTGCACGCGAGCACTTTGCCCTCCCGACAATATATAACCTTTTGAGGTTGAGTCCTTGACTTTCTCCACAAGGATTACTAAACTAAAGGTGTTCAAAATCGCGGTGACCTATCCTGCAAAGCCCCCGAAACTCTCTCAACAAGGCGGTCGACGGCCATTTCATAGGGTTCTACTACCCTTCCCTCAGTGCAACAAAATAGGGGAGGAAGTACCAGTACAACTTCGCTCAGATATGCTTCATAAAATTATAGGGCAGATCTGTTACATACCTGCCACAAATTACTACTACGACACCGCACCTTTCTCTCCTTTATAATGAAAGACTTATTAGACTGTTGTCAACAGACTGTAGCTACGGACAGTTGTTTAACGGGCCTCTTGAAAAATTCTAAAAAAATACAATAGATTCCTAGTAACAGCATCGCCACTCCTTCATTACATAACACATATGTTAGCGGTTCCAGATTATTTCAAATCAGCGCAGAAAATGGAGCTGAGAGAAGACCCAACTGCTTCAGCGTCTGCTCGCGATGCCGATGGTACGCTCATTGTGCTCGTTAAAAGAAAACAGCCCAGTTTCTCAAGTTGGTATTAGCAACTTTAATGCTTTCTGGTTGCAGATTATCCGAAAATGCCCGAAATAGCTTTCGATAAGGATACAATTAATGGATCCGCAGGTATCCACAGGGTTCTTGCGTGTCACTTCTCCTTTTTTTCTGTTATAAAAAATGTCAGTCCATTTTTGTTTTAGCAGAAGGAGAAGAAGAAACGCTCACCACTACTTCATTGACAGTTTCTTTGACTGATGGTGGGTTGTCATTCTTAATGTAAAGATACGACGGCTGAATGAACCTAGTTAAGAGGCTGGAAACACTGTTTAATCCTTATCCACCTAGATCATCTTGTTTCAAAAATTCTACGGAATAATGTTCCCCAAATATGCATGGGAGAAGCTCGAAACTCGACAATCTTGAACAGCTCTGAATAATAGAAACGCTCTCAGAAATGCAGCTTTCTGCGCTGGTATTGAACTCATAAAGTTTCGAAGCGTTGATACTGATACTGGGGAAAACTGATCACTTCACTTCAGTAGGGCTGCGTGGCAGATGTATTGAGCGAATTTACTAATACCAGAACACTTTCCCTTTTTCTGACGCACCAAGGTCAAGCATTAGAGAGCAAATCATGAATCATCCATGCTCCCGGGGAGAGAACCAAAAGTTTTCAACTTCGCATCTTCGCATTAAGCAAAAGATTTTTCATCAGTAGCAGATCAGAAAACGTTGCAGTGCAGCATGTGGCCCAGTTCCGTGGCCTCACGAAAACATTAGTTTCTTCATTCGCTGAAGAGTGGCTTGGCTTAAGGAAAACAAAATGATGCGAGTTTCCTCTAAAAACATCAAATAGTTTTATTTCAAGACATTCCTACAAGCTCTGAGTCTCCATTAGAGAAGAAGCATCTCTCAAGGAAGACCGTGGACACTGTGACGGAAGTTTCTACGGAGAAGTTCAACACGAACTCCTCCTCATTACACAACACAACATTGATAGGCTTGGATAGCGATGGTAATATGGAGTCAACGACGCATGAATCGAAGCCGGAGACGACAGAATTCGTTATTACAACCACTACTCATCCTCCGTACTGCATACCTTACCGTGACCACCCTACCATTTCACGCTGCCACAAGAGTTTGATGGCGTGGGTCCAATTTTTCTACCTCACTCTTCTCCTTTTGCTCTACTTGTTCTATTTCCAGAAAATTGTCAACGATCGCTAAGGAGTTTCCTGAATCCGTTTCAGTACGCTTCCCTCTTTTCAATGTTTCAATCGAAACGTTGGTTGGCCTTTGTGATGACTTCGGGGATGCAAAGAAGTGCATGGACGGAGTGGAACGTCTCTGTCGGCATCCAGTATGTTTTTAGAATGAGGTCTAGAGGTTGATAAATATTCTACTTCATCCCTACGAGCTTGAAGAGAATATCAACGGTAGCTCTCACTCATTCCGAGCCTAATTGTAAGACGCTAATTACAATTGCACTGATTCTCAAACTGTCCCACTCCCGAAGCGAAGCAGTCAAATAAAGATAGAATACTTCCGTGGGTATCTCATCAGATATTCAGTTGCTCGAATTCTTCAACCAGCAGTTCACTCCGGCCTGTACACTTCTCAGAATGCGAGACTTCGATATAGACTACGCTTGCATTCAAAGGAAGCTAGTTACAAGGGATGTGAGTTTGCTTTACTTGTTGAAATACCTTGTAATTCATTACTTGAGCTGTTCCTATAGTATTTTCTTATTCATTTAGGATTGCGTTGCCAAGATAAACGGAACAATCCATCCTGATAACAAATGCACTGGACATGAGGGTTTCCTCAGGTAGTGCGCTTGCTTGACGTAATCACACTTTTATTGTCTGAGTTGTTGTTCCTGCTTGCTTTCTTGCTTCTTCCCTCCACTCATACATTATTCCCGTGCGGTCGATAGCCTTACGACATATCTTGTTGTACCACCTAACCACCAGGTTCATATACACAGGGATATCCCTGAATTATAATGGTTCTGGTAAGGGAATTTCGACTGCGATAACGTAGCGTTAAAAAGTATCCTTTTAGAAAGGAGAAACGCTTTTCGAAGCTTACATTTTCTTACTTTACCGGTTTGCATCATAATTCCATAACTCCCATCTAGCAGAGTTACAATCGAAGTACATAACCTTCTCTTCCATTCCAACATTTAATGGCACATAAAGAACGTCAAACTCATCGCCCTCAAAGGAAAAAACCATGACTTTTGACAATGATGATGGTAAGCCGACCAATTCAATGAGCTGCTGAATAATGGCAATCGACATGGCGTTCAGCTCCTTTGAATTCGAGCGAACAATTAATCCTCATCGATTCTAGGCTGCTCTATCCAACTCTTCTCATATATGTATGTTCAATCGGATTTAGGTCCGAAAGATGGCCCGACCAGCCTAGAAGTCCCCCATTTTTTTGTTGGAGCACCACCTTCGCAACATTAGAAAGGTGCCTAGTGTCACTGCCTTGCTGCAAAGACAATAAGACTGGGACGCTTTCTTCCGCCAATGGCAAGATGTTTTCAACAGCCATGTTTAGTTTTGCTTCTAATCGGTCACTCTGTCTGCAATTCTGAGAAAAGATGCAATTCTGTTAACGAGTAAACGTCGTGCACCAACATCCACTGCCATGCCTGGCAAACGGTTTTTTGTATCTTGATTGTATCCCTTTTCGTAGGACGTCTCACATACTCGAATACTCATGCCATCAGATTCAGAGAGGTTTGACTTGCTTTCGTTGGTGAAAAATCCCCGCTCCAGTTGTTTGATGGCAAATGCAGCTGATTGACAGTTTTTGGTTGAACGCCTCTCATTCAGCCCCATTACAATGAATATCATTGCCATTGAACTTATCCTGCGAATCTGGTAAGCATGGGATCGGCCTTTGAGAGTTGGACGATGCACCCTATCTTGTGAGTAGATGCAGTGCTCCTCTCTCGGTAAAGGGTAAAAGTTGCTCGAGTGACACAGTGCATCTGGAAGGTCCAGCATCCTTTCAGTAGTAGCACATCTCTGACTCCCTTCTTATCCGCTACAGCTTAACACCTGCTTGTCGTTGCGCACGATTGGTAGATGGTCAACATATTTGCATTATTCATTAGAAAGGCAAATTCCGAAGCATGTGGGTCAAGCAATGGAATTGTTTTTGGCAAAAAAGTGCTCATGTTAATAGCTTGTAGAGCACAGCTTTTTTTCAACATTGAGCATTGGAGAGCAAATAAGGGTAGTCTATGAATAAGAGCTCAAATCTTACAGCATCATAGCTCTCTGCACGAAGTACATCATAGCCACCTTAGTGCTCCTATCCTTCTGACAATGAGGCCCATGTGACAACTAGATTCCTTTGGACAAAAACCGTCTCTAGGCACAACTGAGATAGCACTTCCTTATTTTCTACGCTTAAGCGCTCAGTGTTTGACAAGAGCAATGCCTTCCACCCAATGGCATGATATATACATGTACATATATACATACAATAGCGCTCAAAAGTATTCGGCCAACTTTAACTTGCAGTAACTTTTTTCTCAGAGGAGCAAATCGCCTGAATTTTTATATGTACAACTGGAGCATATTTTACACTATCCAACACTATTTGACTGCAAAGCAGCAATGTCCACATAACTAAGGGGAGGGCGTTTGTAGACTATGCTGGAAGCAAGTTTGTGACGTCTGCAGTTATTCGCCCTTGCTTGAGTTTTTCTGTTCTTCTGTGTTCCGCATTGGCGTTCGCACACTTTGGACATGGTAAAAAGGAAACAAATCATAGAAGCCCCAATGCCCCTATTTTCAGTTGCTTCTGATTTCAAGCTCCTTGGGATATATGGAACGTGATAAAAATGCAGGTTAATAGTGGTAAATATTCACACTACACGAATGCTACACATATTGAAATTTCGCATGCTTAGATCTAGTAGGAAAGGAGTTACGACTGAAAAGTACGACCGAAGAAGCATTTGGCCGAATACTTTTGAGCGCTACTGTACATATACACACAAGGA